ATTTGATTGATTTATCTTTTGTAGGTGAAGAATATCTTTTAACAATAAAAGGCTATTTGCCGGTGGAGTGTATCTTAAAGAATTACGTATCGAAGTGAGTCCTTCATATCAAAATGAATTTAACGTTTTTTTCCTAATAAAACTCAAACATCCTAATCACAACTTATAACTCCATGAAAATGAACTCGCCTCGTTTGCTCTTTCACAGTTATGGAAAAAAGTGGTGGTTCGGTTGTTCTAATCTATTGAATAATCAAATCATATTTTGCTATGGTGGTTGTGATGTTACTCTGATACTATTGAATTTGTAATAATGGTTGTGATGACCAGAGTACATATCTTGTAATGTGTTTCTTCTTATTTGTAATCAAACCAACAACCTCTGAACAATGAATACTGGTATTTAAACTCAACTCTAAGATAATTTAACGTTTGAATGTTTGTGCCCGTACTTTCCTACTCATGACCAAGGGCTTGAACATTTGTGGGGGAAAAAGCTTTCTTCTCTAAGGAGCTTCATAAGTCACCATTATTGCATAGCAGCATATATGTGTGTGTGTGTGTGTGTGTGAGTGTTAAAAACAATGAACTTAGAAGGCAAGAAAGCTTTTTCTTTATGGTGGTTGATGATGCATTGTCATGTGTTCTCTCACCTGTCTCTAACTTTTTCTCATTCTTATTCTTCAGGTAGATGAGCATCATGTGGCGCTGAATGAGGAGTAAACTAATATATATATATATATATATATATAAATATTCATGTGTTTCGTGAAGAACACTCTTCACTTGCCAGAGTTATTAGATTTCATTTCCTAGGATGACAAGAGAGCATGTATTTCTGTCAATTTCTTGGGCCAATTTGCAGAGAAGATACAGAATTAGGTGAACAGAATTAACATACGATGAAGCTTTTATCTCATAATCATAGGAATGGGATTGTTTAGAGTTGTTGAACTGTAAAAGTAGAGTTCAATGAGTGTGCCTCTGAGCATCCAATACAATATATACCCCCCCCACCATGTGGCTTTTTGATCAATCCACAGAAACGGGTCTTTCGCTTTATTATTATTATAGCCATACTCTTGTTTTCTTTCTTGGGAGGACCACAAATATTATAATAATAATGAACGATAAAAGTGCTTCCAAGACTTTGCATGTATATTTCTTACTGCCCCTCCAGCTTTTTCAGTGGCACTAATCATTTTTCAAAATACTCTTTTCTGATCCGTCACGTTACTCTGTGATAATTATGTATGTTCTGGCCTTGTTCTCTTTATGCTATTACTCCCTGCCATACTTTCCGTAATGATACACTTGGACAATATAATAGTCTCGTCGAATTATGGTATTTAATTATATAATTGATTTTTGAAATAAATAATCGAAGTTGGTATTTAATATTGAAGTGATGGCTCCAGCATTTGAGGCCCGTTGGCTTCTTTTGTTTCGCTTTGGAGAGGCATCGAAGAGTGAAGTCGTTCTCGAAAAGTAAGAGAAAGAAAGAAGAACGAAGGAGACAGATAAAAAGGGTTAAAAGTAAAAACAAAGCATCTGAGACTCTATGTTTTGCATATGATCCGCTAATTATTCATGTAAATTTGTTTTTACATTTTTCAAGTTAATAAAAAAAACATGTTTTTTTTTTTTAATTTTCATCATGATAGATATAATGGTAACCAATGACGTATGCCTACTTCACATACTCCTCCGGTCCTTATATAAGCCCAGTTTGACTTTTTATTATGGTCCTAATTATAAGACCCAATCCATTTTCTCTTTTATATTTATGCATTTTTTTCCAAGATAATCCTTCTAATAATGATAGTTTTAGCTAATATACTTAATTAGCAAGGATATTTAGGAATAACAACACTTATTTATTATAAATAACCAACTAACTTACTTCCTTAATCTCCTCAAATAAGTCAATTGGGTCTTATAATTAGGACCAGAGGAGTAATACTTTCTCTTATCCTTAATATAAATCTTGTTTGACTCTTATTATGATCTTAAATATAAAACCTTAATCTATTTTGTCTATCATATTTATGTATTTTTTAAAAGTCAATCCTTCTAATAATGATAATTCTAACCAATAAATCTGATTAGCAAGAATATTTTTGAAAAGATAACATCTATTTATTACAAATAACTAACTTAACTTCTTTTATTAATCTCCTTAATTAGTCAACTAGCTCTTATAATTAGGACTTAAGGTAGTATAATGTTACACTTAATTATACAAGTGGAGTAAATATAATTATATTTTGGTCTCATTCACAAACAATAGTCTGCTTTCTGTCTTAAATTTATGATAGTTTTTAAATTATTTCTATTGACGGCATATGTTAAACAAAGAGTTCATATGGGATAATTTCTATTACGACTAATTAGAATGGGTGTCTTGCGAAAATCAATATATATTTTTTACAAATAATAAATTCAACTAAATCTTTTGATTTACATAAATTAGTTATCGAGTTTGTAGAATTGAAACCAGAAAGGGTATTAAACATAAATAATTCAGTAGTATATAAAACAAAATATAGTAGGAAAATGTAAAGTGGAGCACGAAGAAAATCCAGCAAGCGGCAAGACCCAGGCAAAGTCGAGCAAAAGTTAATCAATTAGGACACAACGAATAAAAGCTTCACATACAACAGTCCCAGTCAATGTTTCTTTTTTTTTTTTAAATGAAAAAAATGAAAAATAAAAATCGTGAAAATTGCAAAATCTCAAATTCTGATTTGTTACAATATTTGACAATAATTAACTTAAAAATAATAACATATTTTTGCGAAAATACCTGATTTGTGATTTTGCAATTGCCTTTGTTTTTGTCATCTTTCAAAAAAAGAATCCCTTTTAATCTCAAATTTGGATGCCAATCCCATCCACGTGTCACTTTAAGGCTATTCTGTTGATGATTTTTTTGACCAGCAATTCTGTTGATGATTGATTGGATTTAACAGGGATGTCTGTCATTTTATGAATACTACTTTTACTTGCTATAATTTTTTTTCCCATCTTTCCAAATAAAATCGTAGTAATGTACTCTTGGGGGATGCGGATAGCTCACGGCGAGTAAATTTTTATTCATGAGATTCAAAGCGCAATCTTTAGAGAGAAAAAGGGATATTAATTTTTGGCTTTCATTTTCATTTTAATTTTTTTGTTGTCATTTTATGAAGTCGCAGGGCCGTGAAGCATGAAATGACTTGAATAATGGAACATCAAGAAGAGAATAAAAGATGCAATAATAATGAAGAAGGGATGGGAAGAGAGAGAAAGTGAGAAAACGCAGGAAGTGGGGGTATAATATGGCATCTTCGGTGTGTTCATTTAAAATGATTCATGAGTAATTTTTTAATCATAATTTATAAAATATGAGATAAATATATGAGTAGAGTTTTATGCTAATGAAACGTGTTTATAAGTCATTTTTAATGTAATTTCAAGCAAGGCCTGTATTCTCTCGCAAAGATCATTATATTCATGAGACTTCCTTTAATTTGAGGTGGACGTTGGAAGAAGGAAGGACCAAAGAGGATGAGAAGGGGAACAGGAGGGAAGCGTTGAGCCTAGGGAATAACTAGGGCTCTATTTGACATCACTTAAAATTATTTATAAGTATATTTTATATAAATTGAGAGAAAATTTTTCTTACATATTTATTTTATATTTCATAAATTATAATTAAAAAACTGCCATATGTCTCACCTTCCTGACAGGACCCAATTTTGTTATTTTCATGTCCTGGTGTTTGGAAGGAACAAACACAGATAGATGCATCATTTGTCATCATGTTTGAAATTATTATAAACATATTTTACATAAATTAAGATAAAATTATTCCTACATATTTTCATATATTCAGTAAATTATAATTAAAAAGTTGTTGATAAATTATTTCAAAAGGATCATAAAAAAGTGATCCAAGGGGCGAAGCAGGCTATAAAATTGCGTTTTATTATCATCCACATACATAAAATACATTGACCGACTTGTAACTTTTTTACCTGCAAAGCATAGAGCTCCCTCTCCTGTCCTTTTCATGACACAGTATTTGACGGGAGGGCTGAGAAGATTTTTCTTTTTTGACCAGCGGCTGAGAGGAATTTTAATAAAATAGAAGATGGAAGGGAAAAAAAAATTAGAGGTACATACTTATAAGTGCTTACAAATATAATTATAAATTCCTGTAGACTGTCATTGACTCCATTATGTTATGTATGGCGTTCCCCCAGCCTGTCTCCGTCCCTGCCACTCTCTTCCTTCATTTCCCTCACCCCACCCTCCTCTCCTCTGCCGTATCTCGCTTTCTCTGTTTTTTCTTAACAATTCATTTTATATTTCCTAATAAAAAAACTCACCTTCCCTACCGTCAGTCTATCAACATTTGTGCCTTTCTTAAAAAATAATAATAATGTACGATAATGCACACCACACACACCATGAAAATCTTTTTATTTTTTTTATTTTTTTTTAAATGGAGACAAGAATATGCTTACAACCAAAGTTGTCCAGATGAATCTGACTCAACCATCCGTATTGTGTGTATGTGTGTGTGTGCATGCAATTAAAACTCATTACCACTTCAATTACGTCAAATTTTTTTGACCAAAAAAAAAAATTACGTCAAATTTAAAGCCACGGACCATCTCTACTCAATTATTCTAAATCATCATTCTGACTCTTAAAAATTCTTCATAAAAACACTATGATCATATTTTAATCACTTGTAACTGTAATGCCGCTATTGTAACCCTATAATGTCGTTGTCTTTTTCGGCAAAAACAGACGTAATTATGAAAATTCCAGACACAAGTGTGGAAGAAACCTTTTTTGGACCACAATAAAATCAATTTTGCTTCCAAGAAAAACTACAAATAGTCAAATCTCCTTCAAATTCATGGGAGCTTCAATTTCAAACCTCCCCCCACCTATAAAAATCATTCAAAATTAAAATAAAAAAATAAAAATCAAGAAAAGAAAGAAAGAAATACACACAATTGCAGCCACCGTCGCACCCACCAATCAAACTCCCAAAGCTTATAATTTCATATTTTCGCTCACGCACCATCCTCCACTTCCCCACATCACCTCGCCTTTGTCCTTTTCCCTTTTTCCCTTTTCTCTTTTCCTTCCCCCCCAAAAAACAAATATTTATATTTTCCCTTCGAGTTTCGTTAAGGCGTGATTGATCTGGGCGGAGTCCTTGACTCGGCCGGCGGCGTTTGACCGTCCGATCCCTTCGACGGATCGTCCGACGACTGCCGCAACCCCTCGTCCGTCTCGCTCCTATTGATCTCCTCCATCATCCGTACCACCTCCTGCATGGTGGGTCTCTGATCGGGAACCACCGACACACACGCCATGGCTATCTGCAACAACTGAACCATCTCTTCCTCTATATTGTGGTACCTCATGAGCTCCGCGTCGAACACCTCCGCCGTCCATTCTTCTCGGACCACCGACTGAACCCATCTCGGAAGGTCAATCCCCTCCTCGCCCAGCGACGCCTGGTTCGGCGCCTTCCCGGTGAGGAGCTCCAGCAACAAAACGCCGAGGCTATACACGTCGGATTTGAAAGTGACTTTCCGCGTTTCAAGAACTTCGGGGGCCGATAGCCCGCCACTCGGTTCGAGGGGCGTGGTGTTGGCGAATAACGGGTTGAGGCCGAAGTCCGAAAACGGGCCTCATTATCGCCTCCTCGGAGAAGTACGTTGGAGGCTTTTACGTTACCGTGGACCACTTTTCCCGACACGTGTAGGTGAAGCAAAACCCGGGCAGCACCCAGCGCTATTCTCATTCGGCTATCCCAGTCAAGCGGCGACCTCCCTGACCCCCTGCTCCCTGTATTCCATTCCCAAATCTAAATTTTATTAACCAATAATATTAATGATAATGATCATAACAAAACAATTTCACTTTGTCTCCACATAATAAATCACAAAAATACTGGAAGAAAAATCACATTCTTAGAGATGAAAAATAAAAAGCACATTGGAAATAACATTCTCCTTTGGATGGTCGGTCTTGTTGGAGCGTGGTAGCTTTGGAAGGCATAAAAAAGCACGCCAAGTGGCATATTGCCTTTTGTTTTCCTTTTATGAAGGTAGAGTGGAAATTTGCTTTGGCTTTATTAGTTTTCTTTCTCTTTATTAAGGAAAAAAGGGGAATAAATCATAAATCAAATAATGAGAGAGGGGTATGTTTGCTTGCTTGAAGGAAGGGACATGAGATAACAAAAGCAAAAGGGAGACGGGGAATGTTTGCTGCGGAGGTATGGATTTTGAAGACCAGATCATGATGAAGCAGCGCACCCTACGCTCTGCTTTTTGATTACCAACACAATAATATTCAATTACCGCCATTATCAACGCCAATCAATCATCCAGACAGACATTAGTTCATGCACACATTCTTATGTTGTACTCCTATATTAAATTCAATTAAATTACAATATCCTAAAATCTTCATCCCTATTTACAGCTGGAACGAGTTGAAAGTTTGGTCAACACCTTCACTCGCAGAACCCAGAGAAAATAATGCCAGTTTCAAACATCAAGAATATTGTTCCGTATGAA